TTCTTCAGATTTGGTGCGCGATTTGTGAAGATTGTTTTGCTGATAACCTTCTAGTGCACTTTTCAATGAAAGGACAAAATAATTTTATGTTTTTCTTAACAAATTATTCATTTTAATTATCAACCTAAAATTTTAAAATCGTGAATTACAATCCTTATATTTTATCTTCACAATTAATTTTTTGTTATCAACCTTAAATGCATGGGTTGAATATGTCATTTATTAAAATAATAATACAAGAAAAATATTCGTAAATTGAATATATGATGATATTTATTAGGAATATGTAAATATAATAAATCCAAACTATTAATAAGTAAATTGTCCAATATGTGTATGGATATGTATATAAAAAATAACTGTCATGCAGAATGCACACAAATATTAAATTAATTGCACATTAATTTATTTGATAATGCACATTAACATAATATAGTGTATCTCCAATAAATAGTACAATATGTGTGTGATATGCATATAAAAAATAACGTCATGCCGACTGCACATTAGTACTAGACTAATTGCACAATAAGTCATTCGAGAATGCACATTAGCACAATAGTGTATTTCCGGACAACGACACCACGTGAAATAAAAAAATACATTATTATGTTGGTGTTCATTCACATATATTAAAATTTCAGTTATTTCGGATTTGTACATAAATGCAGACTATTGATAAGTAATTGTACAATATGTGTATAGATAGGCATATGAAAAGTAACATTATGCCGAATGCACATTAGTGTTAGACAAAATTCACAGTAATTCGTTCGAGGATGCACTTTAGTATATTGGCATAATAGTGTAGTTCCTGACAATGACACCGATTGAATATAAAAAATCCGATGTTATGTCGGTGTTAATCAAGATGCACATTAGTGCGTGTGAGATTTCACTTTAGCGTAAAAGTTTGCCGGTCGAAACGGATTGATTATAAAAAATTTTGGTACAGTTTGTATATGTCGGTTCAGTTATCGTTTTACTTTTAAAGATTAGGTTGTTTCGATTCGTTGTTGACTTTATTTTTAAAATAACCGATCGACCATATAAAATATTATTATATTTATAACTATATATTACGTCTTTTAAGCAAAAAATAATATATATATATATACATTAAATAAAAATATTAAAATACTAAATATTTATATGTATATATATATTATGTATTTCAACCAAGAATAATTTCATAATAATGTTTAGTGCATTACAGAATATAAAGTTTGGATATGCACATTAAAAACACATGTGATACAGAATGCACAATAGTGTTTGAGAAGATGAACATTTGTACTTATGATATTGCACTTTAGCATAACAACATACGTACCAAAATGGACAGAAATAATTTTTTTTTGTACAATTTTTATATGTGATTTCGGTTATCTTTTTGTAGTTTCAAAATTTTATTTCGAATCGGTTTCGACTTTATTTTTTAAATAACCGAAATATTCGAACCAACCAAAATATGTAAAAAATATTATTTATATTTTTTTATATGTATTATGTATTTTCAGCTAAAAAAATGATATAAAATATAATATAATAATATTAAATAGTACATATATTTTTATAATACAAATAATAAATTATTTCGATTATTTCTGTTAATTCACTTATTCGACTGAATAAAACAATTGTTCCGCTACAACTTTAGCTTGTTTTGGAACAAAAAATTCCGTTGGATCAATTTTTTATTTTTTTTTTAAGTTCGACTCGGTTATTTCAATTTTTACATTTCGGACCGACCAATAAACATTCATAAGATGCACTGTGAAATTTTGGTAAATTTGGAAAAAATTTATGATTCGATTATATAGACCAATGAACAACTTTGTAATTTCGTAAATTATAAGGAGATTTTTTAATGTTATAATGTGCAGTTTATGTAGTAATATTGCAAATGTATTTAACTTTTAATAAATTACAGATTTACCTAATGAAGTAAATTGTAATATATTTAAATTTGTATAGTTGCAGTTGGGTCCCTTAGAGAATCATCTAATTTTCAATCAAGAAACCCCCAATTCACAAAGATTGTTCTAGTCGTCCATGCCCGAGGTCGCTACCGTCGCCTGATCAAAGTCTGACCATCTCTCCCCTCCGTCGACTATGAGGTGAAATATCGTCCATGAATGTGCGCCGATCGTGCTCCGGCGAGACGAGCGGGTTCATCCAATGCTCCAGCGCGGCCGCCGTGAATTGCTGCAGGGTGCGGGAACGGACCTCTGGTCATGATGTTCGACGGCGGAGGAGATGGCTGTGACGTTGACAGAGACGGCGGATCTATATCGCCGGCAGCTGAGCGAGGGGATGCTGTGCAAAATGTGGCAACGGGAGGTCGGCCGGCGGCGGGAGATGGGGACGGCGGCGAGAGATGGGGCCGGCGGGGTCGTGGTGGTGGATGAAGAGGACGGCGGAGAGAGATTTTGGGTGAGGTGTGTGTATTTGTGTGTGAGAGAGAAGGAATGGGAAGAGTTGGGGTGGAGAAGGTGACGGGTAAGTTTGGGGGTGGGACCCATGTTTGGTGTGTGATGGTGTGTAATCACAATTTTACCCTTAATTAATGGTCCAATATGTAGATTTGATCAAAATGTGTGTTAAATTACTATATTGTCATTAATGATTGACTAAGTTTTGACTTGATCATGGTCATTGATGTGTTGGATCCAATGATACAGATTTATCCTTATTTCTTTCACTGTCAACCATTCTCATGTGATCTCATCTCTATCTCTATATATATATACATAGTTTTTATTTTCAAAGTAAAAAAATATTTTAACAAACAAAAAATTAGGGGCCGGTTCAATGCCCTATGATATTTTTAATTTTTATTAACATGTATTAAATTTTTATAAAAAAAAAACAAACCCATCTTGAAAAAAAAAAAAGAAGAAGAAAACTAATTTTGCAAAAAGAAGACAAATCTAACGTTATATGATTATCTTAAAAAAATACTTGAGAAAACATAAAAATAAAAAGAAACAGTGGTATTTTGCATAGTATTTAAACCTGGCCAGATTTTCGGGTCAACGCTTCAACTGTAAAGTCACCGACTCATTTTTTTTTAAGCAATAGATTTTTATAAATAAAAACACATAAATACAACTAGACAACATTTAGAATTAGCCAAATAACTATCTAGTTGACTCTAGGAAGACTACCCTGCGGCCCACGTCTAGAGACTATTCTAACTCAACCACAAGACAAACAACTAACAAAATAAACAAACCCCAACAAGGAATAATACAGCTCATACAATAGGAGAATGAGCAACTAAATCAATAAAAACAACACAACACTACAAAAATACGGACAAAACACAACAACAAAAACTAACAAAAAAAAACAGAACACAAATTAGGTAGAATAACACCATCCTCTCCACCCCAACCGACCAACCCCTTCGCACATCCAAGTAGCCGCTCAACCAACCTGCTGCCAAAGCCCCACGCCAAACCACCTTACCAAGCCCAAACCACCAACCAGGGGTGAAGAGACAGAGAGAGGGAAGGGGGAGTCTTACCTTGACCCCGACAAACGCCGGGGAGGCAGGTCGGGGGGGGGACGGAGGCTGGGACCGGGCCGCACAGACGGCCCTGTAGAGGAGGCGACGGCGATAGCTTTTGCTGGAGGGTTTTCTTCTTTCCAAATTGGGGCTTTTTAGCGTATGAGAGAGAGAGAGAAAGATTCCTAATTAGTAGCCACGGAGTGTGAATTGAATAATTAATATATATATAGTATTTTTATCATATAAATATGAATAAAAATAATAAAATTAAATGTTAGTAGATAATGTTTGTACGTCAAAATTAGAACTATCAAAACTGGCTTTAGCCCGCGGGCCAGCCCACCCCGCACCACCAAAGTGGCGGGTTGGGCTGGGATTTTCTAGTCCCACTCTAAACGAGCTATCTCACGCGGGCCGTGGGCCAAGGCGGGGCGGGCTAGTCCACGAGCTGGCCCGTTAATTATTAATAAAATAAAAAAATAAAAAAAAATGCACATATGAAAACCAAAATCTCGTCAACTCCCTCAATCTCATTTTCGTCTGCCTCAACACTCAACTCAACATACCCTAATCGCCCATACTTCACCGAACAAAAAATCGCCTCCGTCCTCCGCTCGCTCGTCGCCATCCGCACTCTCTCCATGCTCCGCCACCGGGCAATCAGTCACTGGTTCCCGTTCTAGTTTCAACCGCCGCCGGCCCCTACGCTAGTCTCGATCGCCGCCGGTCCCCCTTCAACACTCAGTCTCGCAGATTCAAAATTGGAGCCACCGGCGGGAGGTGCGATTTTGAGGACTCAGTCCAGGAATCAATTTGAGGTATTGGGGATGAAGGTTATTTTCGGCTGCTATGAGGAACTAACAATGGAAATTGTGGTGCATAAATTAACATTGAGAAAAGAAATTAAAAAATTGTGTCTCAAAATGGTTAATGTTAATTGTGATATTATTTGTGACGTGTAAAAATGTAATTAGTTTGAGAAAAAAGATAAATTGAATAAATAATATAATATATAATAGAAGTTGTCTAGAAGGGTTTCTACATCTAGAAAGCCTTCTAGACATTTTCCATGCCACATAAAATTTTTCGTGCCATGTGGCAACAAAATAAAACAATAGAAAAACCATTGGAGATGTTCTTATTTGGGGTTTCTTTATATATTTTTTTTCCTTCTTTTTGTTTGTTTTTATTGCAAGTTCTTGTAGCATAGGATTGAGAGTGGAAAGAGAACAAAATTGTAAATATGTGTTATAATATGAGCTGGAAAAAGTATGGGCTACAAATTTTGATCCAAAATTTATGATCTGTTAAGAAAAAAAATAGCAGGCCTGGCCCGTGGGCCCGCCAAGATGGCGGGCCAGCCCACCCCGCCGGCCCGTTTTGACGGCTCTAATAAAAATGTTAATAATATTGTATCTCATAATAAATATTTAGCATATAAATATGCATACATAGTTTTATCATATAGGGGGTCAGGTCAACGCCGAGTGCACCGAGTCCAAATAACCCACCTGAACCGATTCTGGCTGCGGGTCGACGGGATCCCAGCAAAGTCGGTCTAGTCCGGGTTGAAAAACTATGCTCAAAAGTCAATAATGCAATAAAGTTTTTTAATTATTATTTTAATTTTTTACCTTGTTTTAATTCCAGAAATACATAGAAAGTGGACCGTGATGAGATTTTTTGTGCTTGATTGCTTTTCTAATAATCTGCATGTAACTTACACAAATATTATGAACCTATCTCCTAAATAATTATCATTCTCTCTCACTTTATCGCCTTCATATATGCAAATAGAATCCCCTAAAAAGATATTATGAATCAAAACAACCAAACCCAACGTCCAATCCCGACATTCCTCGCTAAAAGTCATTGGTCGGGTACATCCACGTCCGAGTCGGCCTCACTTCTAACGTCGTGCCCGCTGCTGGCCACATACCTGATGATGTTGAAAACGGGCAGCATAAACAACTTCACAACTTCTGCATCTCCCGCCTACCCTTGTTCACCAAGCCCAGAGCCTCAATGCCTAGGGTTTGGGTGAAAAGAAGTGTCGGAGGTATTGTCATTTCAAATGGGAAAATGCTAAAAAAACATCTTTAACCACACAAAATGGCCATTATTCAGTTTTCAACCCAATGTTTTAAAAACCGTACCGTACCGGCCGGTAATATCGGTATTACTGGATACCGGCCCTAGGTACGGTACAAAAACACTCTNTGCATACTTGTGGGTGGCACTAGTAGATGTATTTTTTTACTTTTTAGCATCACTCAATTTTTTATATTTTGAATATGATATCTTATATAAATATATAATGTTATTTGTTTAGTAGTCCGGTAATACCGCATACCTGTGACTAGACCGGTATGACCACCGGTATTTAAAACATTGTTTCAACCCTCATATGGTTATATAGTGGTATTCCCACACACAAAAACCCCTCATGCACTTCTAACCAGTCACTTTCTTTCATTCGGCCTGCCTTAGAGCATCTCTAATGCATATTGTTAAAGGGAAAAAAATGCCATGTCACTATTGGAAACAATATCTTCATATTTATATCTTCATGGGACTCTGTCATCGTCCAAATTTTTGTGACGTGGCTTGACTACTATCAAGTACACTGTTAGAAGGCAAACAGTGGACAGTTTGACTCACAAATAAATGTGCCAAAATTTGTGGAATCATGGGAAACAACGAGAAAATTTTTTAGATTTAGTGGGAAAATATGAAGAAGAATGTTATTACAATTTTCATATTTTAAAAATTAAACCACTTTGTATTTACTTGATAGATAAAACTAACACTGAAATCGTGAACAATGTAATTATAATTTTCATATTTTAAAAATTAAACTATTCTGTGTATTTATTTATCATGGAACCAAAATTTGATTCCTAATTTTATTATTTGTTTAGTTTTGAGAAGATGAAAGCCACTTTTTTCCGCTTTAATTAAAAAAAATGAACGTAATTAATATCTCAAAGCTGAAGTCTTAATATGTTTCATTTAATGAATCTGGTTAATACTTTATAAGTTGCTTTATCATATTTGTTTTTTAGAAAATAAATATATACACACATACAAATAACTGGTTAATATTTTATAAGTTACTTTATCATATTTGTTTTTTAGAAAAAAAATATAGACACACATACAAATAACGTGAAAAGAAATGCATTGGAGATTAACACTATTATAATCTACGATGTCAGCGGTGATGTTACAATCTAATTAATTACCGCCATGTGGCATGAACGTGTTAACATTGACATTCCAAAGTGATGTTACAATTTAATTAATTACCGCCATGTGACATGAACATTTTAACATTGACACTCACTGAAGATGCTCTTAACAAAATCTGATTCTAGCATAACAATGGCACGGACAACTAAATTAATCACAACCGAGAACCAAGACATTTTAACATTTACACTCCAAACACTGGAAATGCTCTTAACAGAATCTTATTCTAGCATAACAATGTCATGGACAACTAATTAACCAGAACCAAGTGAGATTAACTGAGACTCTTTGCATTCCCAAAGTCATATTATCCACTACTCCGCATTCTTATATTCTGCATAATGAGAGAATCTTGGACTATCAAATATGTAGTCAGAGCATAGAGGAAGTAGTCAAAGTAGTCAAAACATTGATCATAAGTTCAAAATAATCAAGTTATTTAAACTCCAAATGGTCGATCATGGTGACCAACACTGACTTTCTTGAAAGACAACGCCTTGGAGGAAAGCAAGAACATCAAATCAGGAGCACTAATACAGGTACACAGGTACATGTGAGAGTACACAAACTTCTCAAAAGACCCGGAGCCCAGTATACAAAACGAAAATTTGCTTATAAACAAACAACAATTGTCCTGTTGAAACATCAACACAATGAATCTGGATGTCAAGACCCAGAGCCCAGTATACAAAACACAAAATTGCTTATAAACAAACAGCGACTGTCCTGCTGAAACATCAACACACAATGAATCTGGATGTTCACCCAATCTTCTTCCACCTCATAAAAATTAAAAATAAAAACGAAAGCAAGATTACAAACTCTACTCTACATAGCATTCCTTCCTTCCCTCCCCCAATATCCCTAGGAATCTGTATGAAGCTTACTGAGTTGCATAAAACCACCCACAACTAACGGGACTTGCATCATTTGGAAGTCATTAACATGGAATTAATGACATGCATGATGAGGCGGATGTTGGAAAGCTCAGCTCCACTACAAGTCGGAAGGTTACGGTGGTGATTCAGTATCTGGTAGACTTGCTCAAAGATGGGACGCACGTGGACCACAATCATTGCATCTGATGGGTTTATAGCAGATAGAACTTCTCTCATCCATGTCAGCTTCCGAGAGGTGTCTTTGCTGATGTCACAAGCCAACTGCTGCAGAAGAGAGAGGAGTACACCCTGACTCAAAGGCACCGGATTCATGGACAATATCCCTGGCAGGTCAACCTGGTACAAGTTGACAAATATTATGAAAACCCTCAAAACCGATTTGATGTTTGATTGAAAAATACAAATGAAAAAAAAAATGAATAATTTCCAATAATGACACCAACTGAACGCGTCATTATTCTGTGGAAGAATGAGAAGGATGCATTTCTCAAATTGCCTTGATTCTGCTAATATATAAAATATTGCATTTGGCGAAAGTGTTCCAGTTACGAAACATTATTTTTTAATATGAAAATTAACTCATTGAACCCATATACTCAAATTAAGAAAGGTACCTCTTAGATCTTTTAAAATACACACTTCCTTCTAATCCACACAGTCCATTATTTAATCTATGAAGTTTAAATTTTTTAAAATGGCAATGAACGAACAGAGTATTAAAATATTTATCGAGAAGTTAAAAGGCAATTCAGGGTGTACCTGAGCACATAACCAGGATACAATATTAACATCAGTCCTCTGCAGGGCAGCAGTAAAAGCCTCCTCATACTTGCGGTCGGCTACCAGTCGAGATATTTCCGCTGTCGGGTCAAGAGGTGCCTCGAGCTTAAAAAAACATATACCCATGTCACAATAAATAAACAATGGTAGCAGTAATGAGTTAAATCTCTGCCCAGATCAAAAGAAAGTCCAATTAAGTCAATATAAAGAAAGACAAAAACAAAGCCAAACCTTGTCATGGAGACCACCCAGAGGACCATTGCTCAGATGACTAATCAACGGATTTGCTGCTTTAGTGTTTGCAGCAAGAGCTAACAATTTCCTTTGACCATCAAGAATCTCACTGCTTAAAGTTTGGGTCATTGATGATGCTGAATTTATGGCATCCTATAAAGTAAAGTCTAAATTAGTGATGCAGTTGGGTGTGGAAAGCACATGAGGGATCGGATAAGAAGAAACTACAATTTTCCAAAGACCAACAGTTTGCAGCCTCAGATTTTAATTTAACAAAAGGCCACATAGACAGACATTTGACTTAGCACATAGCATAAGAAAACAACTTGATACCCTTAGTGCAATTGCCAATGGTGAATGCGATGCGTCAAATTGTTGCTGAGCTGCTGCCGAATGTTCAACTAGTCCATTCTTGAATGTGGCATCCACCTGCTCAAACATGGCTCTGCATGACATCTCAAATGCTGGGATCACAGAACTTTCCAAACTTGATTTCAGTGTTTCCTGCACAACAAAAATAGTTATGACTCTATCAAGCAACGATGCAGCTGAAAGTTGAGCTAGCACATAAAACGAGAAATGTGAATGCTGACCACAGATTAGCTACCACCATTACAGCGCAAACAACAAATTAAAATATCATGATTCTCATGAAAAAGCAGTATGTATATAAGGAAAAAATAAATAAATAAATAAATAAACCGTTCCCTTTTATAAGGCAAAATGTACATTCGATTTTCATTTCTAGAATTGGTTATGAAATTTCCCAAAAAAATAACATTTTTTCTTTCAAGTACTGTTTATGCTCATGTGTAGATGAAGTGCAAAGTTATAAAGACATCAAGCAGAATCAACTAGGTGGTGATTGGAAATAATTTTTTTTAGTTTTTATTGGTTTTACATGATAAGTGAGTCAATTCTGAAAAAGGTTGATTGAGTTGAGATTTGAGTGATGTTTTAAATAATATTTAAAATGTAATTATTAATGTTGATGTGATGTAAAAGTAGGAGAGATGTTATTGAAAATGACAGGTAGTTAAAATTATGTGAGTGGATGAATAGTGAATTAAAGTTGATGTGATATGTGAGTGATTGATTGATATTATTTAATTCTATTCAATAACATTGAGGAGGGTTGAGTTGAATTAAAGTTGAGTTGAATTTTGAGTTAAAAATTTGAAAGAAAAACTATGCGGCCAGAAATAACCAGTTTATTTATAATATTTTTACTTGCTTGCACTGAACTCTTTCTCTTCTCCATCCTATTACCTGAAGAGCTTGTTTGCCAGAAGTTTGAAACTGAGCTTGGATTTGCCTAGCAACAGTGGCTTCGAGTTTGGTATTGACAGATTTCTCTAGTTGATTTACAGCTTTATCACCGACACCTTTCTGATCATACAAATCAGGTCTGTTAGAGTCCACGCCCTACAATCAAATATCCGATACACAAACAAAGGCACAGGTAAAATGTTAACCTGGAAGCTCTCAGCAATGGTGGTGGATACTATCTTCTCTATGGTGGGAGTGATTGTTCGCGCCACAGATTGCCCCAGGGCAGCCAGTTCTCTCTTTACAGTTTTCTCAATAATTACAGGTAGGTCCTTGTTTAAGCAACTGTTGATCATATTAGTTAATTGTTGCATGCGCTCCCTTACTGCCTTGTCCTGCTTAACATTCTCTTCTTGAATACGGGCCCACAATGCATCAGCATTAGATTTCACAGCTTTCTCCATGCTCCGCCCCAATGCTGCCTCAAGTCTTTTGCCTTCTTTGTTGACTGGGGCAGCAACCATAGCTGCCATCTGCTTCTGCATTTCTTTTTGCATAGATACAAGCTGCAACAAAAACACAAAATATAACTACACTGAGATTGTTAACATTAGGCGAATCCCCCTGCAATGAAGCTGCTCTATAGCTAGATTCACAGTGATGAACCTATTTGACGCATAAATGTGGCAGACATTATCCTTCAGCTTACCAACAATGGTACCATAAATTTTGAGTAGAAATAATAGAAAAACACTGGGCCCCTTAAGTAACAAGGAGTTTCATATAACTTCCACATAAAAAGTAATCAACTAGGGAAACAAAACTAAAATGTCAAAGCCACGAGTCGATATAAATTATATATCATGAAAGATAAGAGGATTATTTGAACACCACTTCTTAGACTAGAAACTTCTAAAGAAGCATATAACAAACTTAAAGACAAAAGGATGAAGAATGACAACTGATGAAAGGTTAATGATCACTATATTCTATACACAAGTGTAAGTCAAATAGCAACAAACTGAAAGGCACCTGATTCAGCATCTCTTGCATGGAATATATCTGTGGGAATGCATTCTCTATTGGTGTACTTAAGCAAACACCTTGTTCAGTTGAGGAATCTGTTGAATTGAAAGCACTTTGTGATGGTGAAGATGGTCCTGATCCTTGACCACTCTTACCCTTCTGCTTTTTACCTTTTACAATTGTTGAAGGTTGTTGCTGAGCTGGTATAGGAGTCGATGAATCAGTGCCCTGCCGAGAAGCATCCTTCACAGATTCATGGACCTCATCTGCAGTTGTGGACTGAGCAATTGTTTCAGATTCACCAGTCCCATCAAACTGCCTAGCTTCACCGACAGTATAAGCTTCAGGAGATAAAACACGACATTCTCGAGCCACCTCAACTCCTGGATCGGATGCCTGAGAGCAAAAGGATTTTTCCTTAGGTTCTGTCTTCTTAAGTTCCGGGGGAGGTCCCATATCATTACTTTGACTAAATCTCGTCTCACCCACAACTTTTACCTCCATCTCAACATTTCTGGTGTCATTGCTGACTACCACATCTTGAAATTTCACATCAGCTTCACTTCTGGGGTCAACGGTGTGGCTCACTTCAGAGACCGAATTGGCCATTAAAATTTCAGAAGGTGTCACCAAATGAGTGGGGTGCTTGAACTTAACCGGTTGGTTGACAGCTGCAGACTCATCTTGGAAGAGTTCGTTATCACCATTCCTTGAATCACCATCCAATGAAGTAACATCTGATAGGTTTGCATGAACATCCATTTGCCTGTCAACTGAGTATTCAACAATTTTTGGATCTGAACCACGATCACTGGTTGAAAAACCATGGCCACTCAATTGACTTCTGAAGCCAGAATGTGTCTTAGACAACCTTGGGCTTAAAGGAAGTGGAGGTGAAGCAGCAGAAGAAACTCCATCATTAGCAACCTCGGGTTGAGTAACTAATTTTGTTTCAGTAGCTGAAGTGAACTCCTGTGGCATGGGTGACTCAGCAGGAGCATGGATAACAGGGTATCTCACTGTAGATGCACCTTCCAATCCACTTTCATGAATGGATACTTTAGGAGCAGAACTAGATATGGATAACTCAGTTGGTTTCCCACTAGAAGGTTCTACATCTGGAGCAGTAGCAGCATCCAAAGAGACATTGGAGCCTGATTTCTCAAAGACGACATTCTCCAATGGGGGTGGCAAACACTGTGACAAGTCTAAAGCATACTGCTGAATTGCTTGTGTCTGGACACAATATACCTGCACAATTTGATCACCATGAGGAAGAAACTCGCTTGTCCCTGTGAAACTGAGTATTGGCATGGTGACCGTAAACTCTGCTATATAATCCATGCGGGTTGCCGCCGGGTTAGGACCATATTCCAGGTGCACAGCATATATAGCATTCCTCTTGGCATTTGCCAATAAAATAAGACCAGCTTGCGACAATGCCACTACTTGATTGAAAAAAGCTTCCTCTGCTCGAGCCTCTGAACTCTTCAACTCGAACGTTTGAGTACAATGCCATGATTCAGCATCACTAGGAAGCAACCAGCCTTCTTCACTTGCTGATACCCAGATCTTTACTTCCCGATTCAGTGGTCCCTGAACATATGTCCTTGTCAGTTGGGAGAAAGGTAATAAAAAAGCCAAAGTAGATTCAGCAAAAGAAAACTTTTCTTGATAAAAGTGATGTTAAACTGCCTCTTCCCCTCCATGGAAAACTTATCATTTCCATTCAACTGCAACTCTATAAAAGATACAGTATTACACCAGTATTGAGAACTTCAATAATATGTACCCCTGTGATGAGTATGATATGATCTGGTCGATGAGGAGCAGCCAAAAACGTCACAGAATTAACAGGCAGGCCATCATGTGGCCGAAGAACTGCAACAGGCTGTGACTTCCGATCTTCCCAAATCTTAATCTGCAATCAAAACCAGAGATCAACAGACAGTTTAAAAGACCAAATTACATACAGTAGAACTAGTAATCCAAGCACGGTATGGGTATATTAATCACCCGCATCAATCAAAATACCAATTTCAGACTGCTATTTTTTATCGACAAAATCAGCAAAAAACACTATTCAGCTGTATTGGTAACACTTACATTTTAAATTATGGGATAGTTAATCAAACACTTGCAGCCACTTGGTTAGCACAACAGGATTGCCACTGATTTCATAAGACCAGTCAGCTTATGTTCCATAGCCTACCAAGAGGTGTGTGCAAAGCACCAAAATGTACAGGATTGTTACTTTACCAATGGGAAAATACACTAGCGCCAATTCTCTTCATCCGAGTGACTTCTCATTTATTTTAAAAAATAAAATAAAAAAACAATTTGGCAACACATAACAGCTAGTCCAGTAAACATGTAGATCAACCAGGCCAACACGTGGTATATTAAAAGGGAAAATAGGACAAACCGTGCCATCTACTGAAGCCGATACCAAACGTGTTGTCATCCACTGGCACATAGACAAGTCAGACACTTCTCCATCATGGCTGCCAACTAGTTGGACCCCGTCAATCAACTTATTAATGGGGCAACTAAGTGGTTCCTCAGCTGAAAACTTTTCACTTTTTCCAACTTTTGTGGTGTCTATCTTCAAAACATATCTCCCAATTCCCACCACAAGAACTTCCTGCAAGAAAATTACATGGCAAACCTAAATAAAGCCCTGAAAAATAAAGGCACAAGTGTCAATCAAGAAGAGGGACATATATTTACTTGTTTATGACAATGCCAACAAACTCTAGGATGAACAGATTCCCCTTGTCCAGTAATCTGTATAGCAATATTGATCCTTCCAGTAATTTGAGGTTTGTCTTCTTCATCTGGACCTTCGGTAATCTTCCAGACATAAACCCGACCATCCACACTTGCACTGTATTCAGGATGGTTAGAATATTAAGGACAAAATGTGACATGTACATAACAAGAACAACTGATGAAGAGGATACCTAGCCAAAAGGGGAACGTCCTCAGCAAAGAAAGCCATGTCTGTGACCCTCTGAAATTATACATTGGAAATTATATATTGGGATAAACGAAGCTATAATAATGGTCATTAAATAATAATAATAATAATAATAATAATAATAATAATAATAACAACAACAACAACAACAACAACAACAATCTCATAATGCTGTGATTCCAATATGCAATCACATCTTATTTCATAGTATGTTTCACATCATTGATCTCGATGGCCATTGGACAAAAAAAAAATATTCTTATTTTTTTTTTAGTTGATTTTTGATAAATTGAACTGCTAATTTTCAGCAAGATATTTATGGTGTTTTGATCTAATCCGTACTGAAGAAGTAAAACCACACGAGGAAAGTGGTAAAAACCAACCTGGCCTAAACCTTTTAGCAATGATCTCAGAGCAGTATTGATATTGAGCACCCTTATAGCGCCCAATTTCAGCCCATAGCATATATATGTTTTATTAACTGCAATCTGTCTGCCTACAACTAGCCCAGGGTCTGAACCATATTTTGTAATGGGTGTAACCTCTAGCTGAGGCTGCACCTCGCCGGGAAATCTAACATCTATGTCGTAAATCAACCGATCTCCAGTCAGATGCCGTCCCTTGGGGAGTTTACTGCTCGGCATCCGCATCACAGGCGACTGGTGCGAAATCACAGACCCCGGCCCAGATGGCAAGTTCTGCTGTAAGAACAAATCCGAGCCCGAAGAGGAAGTCGGATGGATTTGAGGCATAGCCATAGAAGTCTGCTGCTGAGGGACTTGGAGCGTGGACGGAGGCGCACTCAACAGTGCCATCAACCGAGCTCCATGGTTATTAGGGTTTTGGGGATTAGGGGGATTGCTGAAATTGGGATGATGAGGGGCCGTAGGCGTCTGCCCCTGTGGCTGGAGTGGCGGCGTGGGAAAAGACAGCGACCTCTGCGGATGCGCGTCCTGGTGGGGCTGCGGTGGGTTGGAAAAGGCGGGGTAGACAGGATGGTAGTGGAAGGGCGCCGTCTGGGGCGGAAAGGTGTAGGCGCCTCCGGTGGGCGGAGGGTAGGAGGCGGAGGGAGGCGGGAAAGGGGCCGAAGACAGATTAGGGTTAGTGACAGCGACGAAATTTTGGGGATTAGGGGTGGAATTGGGGAGAGAGGTAGAGGGAGGCGGTGGGGGGTTGAATAATTTCTGCATATCGAAGGCTGGTGGGTTTGGGGAAGCCATTTTTGTTGTTAACTTATGGAGTTGAACTGCAAACAACTAGTGAAAGATGGTCCGGCCTATGTGTGTTATAGGTTGAGTGGTGAGTATGTATGGTGGGTTAGGATGGATCTGGGGAAGAGAGCCCCAGCTGGAGAATGTGCACTGGGTTCGGTTGTAGTCAAGTGAGGAAGAAAGACTCTTGGGATTGGGTTTGGGAGACAACAAAACAAATATGAGAAAAATAACAATTATTAGAACTTTAAGGAAAACTCTCTCTCCTCTCTCTCTCTTTCTTCAAGAGAAGGGATAGATCAGTCGCCCTATAAATCTCAACTTCGAATCACCCAAAGGAGTAAGTAGAGAACCACTATTAATTAGAGGTGGCCCATGGCCATGGGCCACCCGGCCCGCCTTCCCGGCTCGGTCAAGCCCGTTGATCACGGGTCTGGGCACGACTCAGATTTTACCGAGTTGGTCCAGGATCTTGTTTTTTCGATCTTGGCCCGACGGGCCGGGCCGGGCCAGGTCTAGTCCGGGGAAATCGCATGCCTTTTGTTTGTTTTTATAAAATTTTCTTTTTTTATTTGGACGGGCATAGACCCGAGTCTGGGCTTGGCCCGACCTGGCCCGCCAAGCCACGGACCCGGCACGCCTAAGTCCGTGTCGGTTTCGGGTCCATGATTCCGAGCTCGTTGGCCTGTCGGGCCGAATCGGGTCATGTCTACTAGTGATCCTCTTTAAAAAAAACCCTCTCTCATCTCCCTTCGACAAAAAGAACGAAAAAATCCCCAAATTCGCTGTTAGAAAACCTCTTCTGCTTTGTCTCCTCACTGTTGAGTGTTTGTAGTGTTTTTGTCGAGGACGATCGTAAAGACCAACCTCGAGTCGGGTCGTCTCTCGAAAGAAGGTTATCCGGACATGGATTTAAACAATAATTGATTCACAAGAAAGGAAAATAAATGACAAAACCGACCAGGTTGGTAATTATAAGAAAAAGAGGTGAAGCCTTAATGATGAGTGTCAAATCTTGTATAGGAGGGTAGCACAATATTTTCCAGCATATGTTGTGTTTATAGTTTGTATATTTTCAGTATATGTTGCATTTTTATCATTGACATATCTAAAAGAAAAAAACAATAAAACATATACGGTCAATAAACACAATAAAAACAATGCGATGAAATGTAAAACGAAACGGTTGTCGACAAGAGAAAAATACTTGTTTGATTTCGTATATTTTTCAGAATTTGTTCATCAACATAGAATAATATTTATTGATTGTGTAGTTTGTTTATATTTGGAAGATGATGCAGTAACCTTACTATGTATGATATATAACCTTACTATATATAATTACTTTTGTAGTAAAAGAGCATCATATTTTATATGATACGTAACCTTACTATATATAATTATTTTTTTTGTTTTTATGTTTATCGCAGAATCTCATACCTGCGAAATTTAAGGGTGGAGTTACATTTGTTTTGATAACTGATATTTTACGTCTTTACAATTAATTGTCATGTAGTTTGTAAAAATGCAATTAAGATTTGTCACACCATACAATTACAATTATTTCTAAATCACGTGGCAAAAGCGAAAAATCGTCATTCTTAATCCACTTTATCGACATCAATGAAAGTAGGGCATAATTCAGCACAATTACCTTGCCCAAAATTTTGCTTAAGAAACCTAATTTTACGCAATCTTCGATTTCTAATTTATTTACTTATTTTTTTCTAAGTTCGCGAGCTTTGAATTCTAATTCACCAGTGACATAATTGAAAATTTGATATTTCACGAATTTGGAACCTGTCAAGTGCATACCAATTTTTGGCCAACCAAACAACATAGCAACTAAACCTATTGGTTCAGGGCCACATATATGTCTTTTTGAACCGTCGAGTTTTGAAGAACCGCCGATTCAACCCTTTTTTATTTTATTTTTTTCATTTTTTTTATTATTTTTTGATTTTTTTTAAAGAACCAGGCCTACTCGAAACCAACAGTTCACCAAATCGCCAATGCATATGTTCGAGCTGGTTTAGGGTCATCCAACCGTGGTCGAGACTGACAATCTTGTCCCGAAACCGGACTTGGAAACAATTTTGGCCATGTCTAAAAACAGTTGTATGAGTATTTTATCATTCAATCCAAAAATGAACCAAACAACCTATTGAGGAGATAAAATTACACATGCCCAACTGGCGGGCCGATTCATGACCCGGCCAGGCCAAGCTGGTCCTAAAGTTGTCAAAACGGGCCGGCGGGGCGTGGCGGGCCTGCAAAATGTCGGCCCAAACCGTCCCTGCGGGCTTGGCGGGCCATCCCGTTTTTCTTTTAAAAAAAAAAAAAAAAAAAACTGGGCTGCACATGCATTAATGAAGCAGATATAGAAGTAGAAATAGAAGCAGACTTTAGGAGGTGCGTGCGATTTTTCTTTTTAGATCTGCAAATAGAAGCAGTCTAGCAGATATAGTTCGATATAATTGAGGAGCGGTAAAAGGTACTCGTTTGCGGACTTGTTGCACTTCAACGAGATGGACCAATTGAATATAAATAAGAGCGACATCTCTCACTCCTGGATTGCTCTCTACGGCTTGCGCGATTAGGTTGAACCTATTCTTTTTTAACATATATATTATTTTTTAACATATAATAATAATAATAATAATAATAATAATAATAATATAGATATTCTTTAAATAAGGCGGGCTAGCCCACGTTGTTTAAATAAGGCGGGCCAACCCGCCCCGCCCCACCGTGGCCTGCGGCCCGCTCTCCAACGGGCCTAAAAAATCCCGGCCCAACCCGCTCCTTTTGCGGGGCGGGGCGGATCGGCCCGCGGGCCGTGAGCCAAATTGACAGCTCTATTGGTCACCCAGCCTCAAAACTTGATCCCAGAATCGACACGGATGTAGGTACGGGCTGGGTCAACAAACCGACGGTTTGAGACCGGCCGGTTCATAGGGAAAAAATTTTGAACGTCTCTAAGGCCGATTCCGACACATCCCGCCGGGTCAAATAATTCGTACAGGAAGACTGAAACCGGCCCGATCAAAATACGGGCTCAGGTTCGGGCCCATGATTCGGGTCACGACTTGTTCGAGTCGAACCGGCGGTTCGAGCCGGCCCGTGGCCATGTCTAGATAAAATAAGTCCATAACAAATGGGCCCACAAGTATGTATTATATGTTTATAGCTAGGCTCATTATTTGATAATATTCCTATCACAAGACACGACGTTGACTTATTCTCAGTCAAATATTATTAACAACCAAAACCTGATTATTAACAACCAAAACCAACAACATTTATAGACCTCCTCTGTAAACATTATGAAAATAATTAATTCGTTCATTCAATTTACTTTCTCCAAACATTTTTTTGGCTATGTGAAAGTTATCCAAATGTACCCTCAGGCCTCGTCTTTTACATGAGGATATCTCACCTTTATCATTCACTTATGACTCGTTTGCTTTCATAAATTATGGCGTGCTGGATATCCTTAAGCATCAGATTAAACGGAATTAACGGAGATATAGTCCTAGGAACATAGGATAAATAATCCAGCCAAAATTAGGTTGATTACTTGTGTCAGGGTAATTTATTGTATTCAATTACAAAAATGCCCCTAATTGTTCAGAACCAACCGCATCCTAGCAACCATCCCCTTTACTCAACCCATCGGCAGCCAAGCAGTTTTGTCATCGTGAATGAATCCTTCCCATATCTCAACCAAAAAATCCTATCAGCCAAGCAGTTTTGCACCATCCCCTCTACTCCAGCTGTGTGTGCATCTCCAGAAAAAAAATGCTACTAACTGAGATATTTTGTATGTACAAACTTCCATTTGGGCAAAAATCTTTTGTAGAGTAAAACAAGAGACAACTCATTTCTCTTGATCTCTTTGTTGTGCAACTGCAAGATCATGACACCATAAGGCAGACTCTCATCAACTCTATCCAGCATTTCCCATGCAATCAGTAAGAATAATGAACTAAACTCACGCTAAGTTAACACTCAATCTTCATCATCTCTATCCATCATTTCCCATGCAATCAGTAAGAACAATGAACTAAACTCACATTAACTTAGCACTCACTCTAAATATTCCTTTTTATGTCACATGCAACGTTGTTTCTCGACTCCCTACTTCTAAAGCTCAAGAAGCAAGATTTGTCGGCAAATAGACTAAGCTAGAAAGCAGATGAAGCGAAGTCATCTTTACTTTACCAGGCCTCTGCTAAAGGGTCAGATAACTTGAGTCACTGTAAAATTTGAAAAATAGATTTCAATACTAAGGAGCAGCTTTTTATCGGGGTTGCAAAAAGTTTGCAACAAACATGAAGTCGTGATTTAAGAATTCCAGAATATCGACGTAAATGATGCCAAGGGTATCGAAAATGGGATTTGTGGCCAAACATGACTGGTTGTGATCCCAAAGAAAATAAAAAGAAGGCTAAACAACAAGCATAAGGTGGTGAGGAACCATATGACCAGATTTTTTTTTTCTAGGTTATATGAGGATTAGCTGATGATCTCTTGTCCTAAGTTTCGTGCTTTGGGCAGGTGTCAAAGACTGGAGAGTTTTAATCAATTATCTTAAAAGGAGATGGTTTCATTCGCGTGAGTGTAAAAAATCCTTTGAATGGAAGAATTAGAATAGGAATGGATGTATCTGTTGATACTTAATAAAGTTTGGGAGTGGATTAAGAAAGGGGAAAACAAGAGAGGAAAATTGAGAAGTTGAGGGAGAAAAAAGCTCTTGAATTTTATGAAAAGCAAAAGCAGATGGATCTTAATATGGGGTGTAAGAATGTCCACTCTGGTCTGCTTTTTATGTTGAATCAAGAAAACACTACAAAATGCAACTAGTGAGGATTTTGTCCCTTCAAAAAATAATCTCATAATTGACTATTATTTGCTATTACCAATTTAGGGAATTGTTTTCCCTTTTTCTCTATTTTTTTTCCCTCGCCAAAGAAAGTACTAGAGAATGGTACTAATAATCTCATAGTTGAGTATTAATTGCTTTTGAATTTTCTGAAAAGCAAAAGCAGATGGCTCTACCCAGTTTTTGTTCCTACTTATCTCACTCCATAATTAAGAGGAGGGCTTGGTAGTGAACTTTTAAGGGGAATGTGCAGCAATCAAATGGTTACTGGTAAGAATTAATATTTGATTCCTAAAGTCTGAAATGACTGTTCTTCATTTTAGATGCCAATAATGAAAAACTTGTATAGAAAATTTAAAATCAATTAAACACTGATCCATGTGGGGGGAAAAAACATCATGCTCTTGACAGCAGTACCAATCTACTAATATATGCTTGATTGCTAAAATAACTCGGCTTAGTACAAAATTACATTGAAATAGAAAATCAAGCGCTTTCAAGAAGAAAATACAAAGGGGGAGTCGTTAAATTCATGGATCATAAAAATACTTGGTTTAGCAGAATAACCAAATAAGATGCCATTGAAAATTAACAATCAAAGCATCGTTTAAACCACTAAACATCCAAATTTCATCCCCATAGAATCCCAACAAAATCCATCTCAAACCATAGGACCCAATTCGATCTATACAAACTCAAATCTTACCCTAGCCCCCGAAGCCGTACAGCGTACGGCCCTGCCTCTTGAGCGCATACACCACGTCCATCGCTGTCACGGTCTTCCGGCGAGCGTGCTCGGTGTAAGTGACCGCATCTCGGATGACGTTCTCCAGGAAGATCTTCAGGACGCCGCGGGTCTCCTCGTAGATGAGGCCGCTGATGCGCTTAACGCCGCCGCGGCGGGCCAGGCGGCGGATCGCCGGCTTGGTTATGCCCTGGATGTTGTCCCTTAGCACCTTCCTGTGGCGCTTGGCCCCACCCTTTCCCAAACCCCTTGCCACCCTTTCCTCTTCCGGACATTTTTTGGGATTCTTTTTTTCCAGATTATCGATCGAGCTAATTTGTCTTGTGAGTGAGATGTGGAACTGACGGGATACTTGTATGTGTGGCCTTGGGGATGAGGGTGCTTGCCTGCCGTTGGATTCAGTTCTTATCGACGGTTGTCAGACTCTATCCGTGCCATTATGTAAAAGTGTTTGTATCCGTTGATGTACTAAAATGAACGGGTCAGATTGGTTTTTGCTCAGCCGCGTGGATTATGGATTAGGCACTTTTTTTTTAACTATTGCAACTCGATTCACAACAAACAAATATTAAAATTTTTGTTTATAAAGTAATACTACACAATTTAGTGAAGTGTTCTTATTATAGGGTGTGATTCACTGATTTGATATAAAAATTTCTCATCTAGTTAATTTAAATTTTAACTCAACTTTAATTTAACCTCACTATTATCAATATAATTAAATAATATCAACAAATTATTTTTACACATCACCTCAACTTTAATTCATTATTCATCTACTCACATAATTTTAACTAATCGTCACTTTACATAATCTCTCTTCTGCTTTTACATCAAAAAAAATTAATTATTTTGTTTTAGATATTATTTTTATATAGACTCAAAATTCCGCTAACAACTAACCATACCACATTTTTTCAAATTAACTCTAGTTAACCAAAAAAATTAATTTTGAGTGAAAATTTTTATCAAAACACTTCCTTAGGTTGTGTGGGTTGTGTTAGTACTTATTCCTTTTCTTTTAATTTCAACGAGCAGACCTTAGGGTATGTTTGTTTACAAATAAATTCAATTTATATTCAAAGTTTAACTTAAATTTAACTCAACTTCACTATCTTTAATATTATAAATATAATTAATTAATATCAATACACTCTACATCAGTATTTCGGATGGATATTTTGTCTCCAAGCCAACTAGAGGGTTGAGATAAGAGGATCTACTCTTCCTTTATTTGTTTATTTTGGTGTCTGATGATTTTTCAAACTTAATCAAGCAAGCCGACACTTTTCATGCCTTCGAGGAGTTAAAAATCAGTAAACACACTTCTGTTATTTATCATTTGTTTTTTGTTGATGGGTCCGTGTTCTTTTGTCAAGCTAATCATTACCATGCAAACAAGCTTTTGAATATTGTGAGGACTTATTGATATGCTTCTGGTCAGGCTGTGAATTTGAATAAGTCTACTATTTTCCAATGTTTTAAATGCTCCAGCCGGTAATACCGAATATCGGTCATTAGTACGGTACAATTACACACAAAATATCAGATTTACGGTTGACCAGTTTGTACCGAGATCATACCGGTTCAAAATACCGGTCAATAAAAAAAATTAAAAAAAAAAATTATTAAATTAAAAAATAAAATTTAAATTAGCTTAAAATGTTTTATTTTTATCTCATTGAGAAGTTGAAATTAATGATTATGATCCTTTAATTTTTTCCTTTTTTTGCATTTAGTATTATATATTTTTTTATGTATATTTATATATATCATTACATTTGCTAGTCCGGTAATACCACCAATATTACCGGTACGACTGGTAATACCGCGTACCCGTGACTAGACCGATATGACCATCGGTACGGTATTTAAAACACTGTTATTTTCTTCTTTAAGACTACCCAGAACTCTTTGAGCTGAAATTTGTCAAATCATTAATGGTTTGTTGTGATTAAATCTTCTATATACCTGAGGCCTCCTTTGGGAATAGGAAAAAAAAAAATATAATTTTAAATTAGTTAAAAAATGCATTGTGGAAGAAGTTAAAAGCTGAAAGAATAGATTCTGAGTGAGGCTGGCAAAGAAGTATTTATTAATACTTTCATCAGTGCTTTGCATATGTATGCTATGTCTGTTTTCAGGATCCATGTTGAAGATTGCAGTGAGATTTGTGGGTTGATTTCAGGTTTTTGGTGGGATAAGAATAAGGGGGAAAACTAGACAAATTTAGGTATGTTAGCTCAACCTAAGATGGAGGTGGTTTGGGGTTTAGAGAGTTAGGGAATATAAATGAGTCTCTAACTCTGAAACAAATTTGGAGGGTTCTAACTAAACTTAATCTCTTGATGAGTAGTAGCGTAGTAAGAGGTAGATACTTTCACAATCAACAGATAATGGATGTGTCAAACAAAAAAATATCTCGTGCATCGTACATTCACTTTACTAGTTAATAAAAAAAGCCAACTAAGTTTCAAAATTGCAAATGGTACAAATTCCACCCCAAGTGTGGTATATGTAGAACAAAAAAATACCTCTCAGAGGATGTTTCTAATAGGTCAAAGCAGACTAAGTTTGAAAAAAATAAAGAGATTATTATCACATGAATGTTAACTTAGACCTCTTGCTCTTTCTATCCCTCAATCTATTTTTTTTTCCTTTTTTTTTTTTTGTTCGA